ATACTGTCTGTTCACTTCTTGCCAAGACCATGCCTTGTTCTTGTTGAAGCTGGTAAACTGTTTTTATTCTAACTCATACTCTTCTCATTTCATTAAATTCAACCAAAATCCAGATCGCGGTGAAATTTCAAAGCTGTCAGCTCTTGGACTCCGGTCCAAAGAAAATGAATAAGTCGGCAAAGGATTTCAAATATTTTTTAACTTTTATTACACGTTAGGTTCCAAAAAAAATACAATGTGAATTTATATAGGGTTGAAATGTTTGGGTAAAACATTTTAAACTAACTTTGATCATAGTTCGATATGGTGAACTTATTCTAATCTCACATCGAACAGTTGCTTCTTAATAAAATGGATTGAATAACCAAGACACTACCAATTAAGTTATGCTAAGTCTCAACGATTGTTCACACCGGCAAAAAGCTTCATAATTTAAAAAGTCTCATTTCAAATATTACCTTTGGTCAACTATGCTCTCATAAAGATTGAATGATTAATTAATTTTATTTTAATTGGAACGGATGAGAATTGACTAAGTTGAAATATGAACTTAATTACGCATAATTTTGCAATTAATAATCTCAAAGAATGATTATATTAAGTAATCATTTTATTATTAATCTACTGTCTCACCCTTTATTTATATGTTTGATCTTGGATTATATTAATGACATTTTATTAATTGTAAATCCTCTGTTTATATCTACTTCTAAATAAACAACTTATTAATTTTCTATATGAAAGTAACATTTTCGTTAAGGCCATGTCAAAATATAACTAAAACAATTTGATACATCAATCTTTTTTTATACGACTTCTTTTCTTTTTTACATTATGACATGAAAGTCCATCACTCGAGAGTTCTGCTAATGAGTGCCCCGAAATGTACAAGAAATTGAAGCTCAATCTCTAATGAAAGAAAGGCCAACTAACAGGGACCCCAAATAAATTCTTAGCTAGATGATCACACAGGCAAAATATGTAGCTCATTTGGTTTTTGATTTCAAGAATTTCACTTATTCTGGTAATTTTTCTAAAGAAAAAATTAGTTTCAAAAAATTAAGATTCTAAAAAAAAATAATTTTGGATTTTTTTAATAATCTATTTCTTTTGCCTTCAATAAGTTAAAATGATAGTATAAATGAGTTTTTTATTTTCTTTTGACGACTTATTTAAGCTTGATTAGGTTTGTTGTTGTTTTTTTTTTTCCTTTTAAAACGCAAGGAAATAATTTACTAACGATAAATTTATAAAATAAGCCTCAAATTTTAAATCTTGTAACAAAACAAATATGAATTTTTAATTTTGGTCCAATTTAAAGTCCTTTTAATTTTTTGAGTTGTTTCCAAATTTAAAAAATTAATCTATTTTTAGTAAAATTAGATTAAGAGAAAAATAAATCTCTCTGGATCGTTAACACTCAATAAACATGATGTTTTTTAAAGCATTCTTGATCATACTACAGTTAAATTTAATGGCTAAAATATCATTTTTTTTTTGTCATTTTTTCAACTACAATAAGACCTGTAGGAGAGGGTTTCAAGAAAGGAGTTGGAAAATTCGAGATCTTCGAAGATCCTTGAAGAAACTTCGAATTCTCTAGAATATGATGAGAGGCTTAGATTCTTCAATAATCTCAACTTAGGAACACGACAACCAAAGGAGATGAATGGAGATAGAGATTGGGTGAAGAAGAAGGCAAAATGGCTAGAGAATAGATAAATGGCAAGAGCTCTCCCATGGATCTCCACTTTCACTCTCAAGGTTGATAATGAGAAGGGAAATTAGTTCTTTCCCAAGAGTTAAAAATCTCCAAAATCCATCCCTTGTAAAGCTATGGGTGGGTGCTATTTATAGGCACCTCATGATGTAGGATGGAGCCCATGTGCAAGGCACATGGGGGATATTCTTCTCTAACACCTTGTCGAGGGGTGACCTCCTCCGAGGAGGTGACTTTCCGAGGGTGACTTCCGAGGGTGATTTCCGAGGATGAAGATAAACCCCGAAGAGGAGATCATCCTCGGCGAACCCTTCTTCTTAGCCACACCTAACCAATGATCCCCAATCATTCCCAAAGGGTCAGGGGTAGTCCCAGAGGACGTCCTGCCGCAAAAATATTCCGAGTCTCATGGACCCCCGGGTCGTGCCACCTCTGACCCGGGTATAGGCTAGTTTAACCGAAGAGTGAATTTTTCTCCACTCACCGTCCTCTGGATCGGGTCCTTTGTTCGAACTCCATTACGCCCATGGTTCTGGTGCGTAGATCCCGGAAAGCTCCGAGCCCGCAAGTGTTCTGGGACTCATTAACGGAGCGACTTCTAGATTGCGTCTGAATCCGTTCGAAGCCAAGTATTTTGGATCCTGGTTCGTGGATCCGAACCCTTTCGAGTCCGAGTGCCTCGGATCTCTAGGCTTGCTTAATACCTTCGAGTCTCGGGCCTGAGTAAGTCTCTAGGTTCGTGGATCCGAACCCTTTCGAGGCTTAGAGCATTCAGCCCGTTTGATGGCGATAAATCTGCCTCACCAGTCTTGGACTTGGCTAAATTCGGGCCCACTAATCTTGGGCTATTGGGCCTAAATAATTAGTGGGTTAAATTGCTCTCTTACATTTGCCCCTTGCGTGTTGAGAAATTTTAAATTTCTCGGACATGCATACTGTCATTTCTTCGACCCTGCTTCGCGTCACGTTTTCCAAAAAAAAAAAAAAAAACATGTTGTCACGACAGAGCCTATGGATAAAGTTGATGACGCACTTCAATTTACAAAAAAAAATTGACAAGCAAAAAATTTATTTTTTTGTACTTTTTTTTTTTATTTTAATCTGAAAAAAGTATATATATAAATTTTTATTCTAACCAAAGGATTATAAAACATTTTTTGTACAAGATTCATGGACATTTTTTTTCGGTTGTTTGGCAAACATGGCATACACATATTTAGAATATTCAAGAATAATGCTCCCCTTTTTTTCTATTTAAAGAAAGGCCCGGAAACCCTATTCTATACACCTTCTTTTTGTTGCACAGCCGCCACAGGCACAGACCCAACTCATCTTCTTCAACAGGCACAGACCCAGCTCCTTTCCTTCTCTCCAAGAAGGCTTCATTCTGGACTGCTAGAGGCCTCCGACGTGCTCATCTTCTTCAACAAACTACACTGCTGCCATTCACACAGACCTCCATCACAGCTTCC